GGGATTTTCCCTTTGTGTCGCTTTAAATCCCGGAGCTCCTGGAGAAGAACCTCTGGGATCCACCCTCAGACTCCCTCACCTGCCTCGGAATTCCTGCCCAGAGCCGGAGCCGGGTGTTTCTCCAGGTTTCTGGACCCCACCTGGAGCTGTGGGATCCGGAGCAGTTTTTGTTCCGTCCTGGAGTTTTCCTCCCTTCCCTTGCCGTCGGATTCCTGCGGATCTGGCTCCGACCGCGGAGCCGTTAAATCCTAATTACCTTTTTAGGTTGTTATCCTTTTCCTGCCGTTCCTTGGGAATGCTCGCCCTGGGAATCAGCCATTTTGTGCTCCATGTCGGAACGCGCTTCCCGGCGCCGGGATGTGCCGATCCCGCATGGAATTGGGAGCAGCTCCTGGGCAGCTCTGGGCTCCTCATTCCAGCCAGACGGCTCCGGATGAGGAGCCAACTCCGCGGATTTCCCATGGGATCAGAGCAGTTTTCTGTGGGATTTGGGGGGTTTTGGGGCAGCGGGAATGTGCCCAGGAGAGTTGGATGAGTTTGATCCCATCCCTGATCCCAGGAAAATGGGGCTTTAAATGGCTTTCTATCCCATAAATATTAGGATTTTTTAACATCCAAATGGGGCCATTGAGTAACTCCTGGATCCAAATCCCTGGATTTGGAGGGACTGGGATGGTGATGGAACCTCTTGGAACACTTTGGATCCAGCCTGGATGTGCCAGGGGGGCATCAGGTCCCGCCCAACATCCCAGATAACGTGGAATGTTGGGTTTGGATGTTGATTCCTGACCTGCCGGGTCTCTCCTGGGATTGATTCGGGAATTCCAGCCCCAAATAGTTGGGATTTGGGGGGTATATCCATGTTGCCTCCTGGGCTTATTCCCACTGGGAATTCCGAGCAGGAGCAGGGACAAGGACTTGGGTAGTGAACGGGAGACTCCCGGGATGTGCTGGGATGGTGTTCCTGGTGCTCAGGAAGGAATCCTTGGAGCTGAATTCCCAATGCTCCACCCTCCCAGTGTCCCTTCTTCCTCGTGCTGGATCAGGGATCCGGGAGAAGGAGCTGGAGTGTCGTTGGGCAGTGAGGATCCCTGTGCTCGGGAAGAGCAGGAATTTGCCTTCCAAGGGAATATCCAAGGGCTCGGGATGCTCCAGGAAGCTGCTGCAGGTGCCTCCTCCTGGGAATACTGGAATTCTGAGCTGGTTTATTTGTGATTTCCCACTCTTGCTCCCTTGGAGCAGGATCTTAGGATTCACCTTGGCTCTTCCAGGGCTGCTGGAATTCCCAGTGCTGCTGGAGCAGAGTCGGGAAAACAGGGAGACCTGGAGTCACTGGGACCACATGGATCCCTTGTGGTGGATCAGGGATCATCCCAGGTGGATCAGGGATCATTCCTGGTGGGTCAGGGATCATCCCAGGTGGATCAGGTATTACAACCCCTCCATTGGCTCCGGAGGGTCTGAGGCCAGGAATAGGGGCTGAAAGACCAATGTGGGGATTGACCCAATGGAAAAGCCTCCGGGAAGGGACTGGAACCTTGTGGGGCTTCCCTGGAAAAACTCCGTCTGGAATTAACTCCTGGTGCTGCCAACTTTCGGTTCTGGATCCCATTGGATAAACCCCAGGATATTCTCCATCCTGGTTGCGTCTCTCCCTGGATATTCTCCCTTTTCCACTGGAATATCCCTGGTTTTGGCCCAACTCGTCCCAGCCTTTCCGATCCTCCCGTTGGCATTTTTTTGGTTGGATGTTTTCCCTGTGGGAACTGGATCTAATATCCATGGAAAACGGGGAGCTGCTTTGTTTGTCTGGGAATGCCAAACCTGTCTTGCCAGGCGGGAGAAGCGCCCGGAGCCAACGGAACGCGTCAGGGAGCACGTGGAGCAGGAGCCACAATCCCCTAGAAAACTGGGAATTGCCACTGGGACGACGTTGTCCGGCAGACTGGGATTCCTGGAAGGCATTCCAAGGTCAGCTGTCACTGCTCATCCCACCCTGGCAGCCTCTGGAATTTAGGCTCTACTCCGGCCCCAGGATCCTGTTTCCAGGACGGTGTTCCCGGGACAATCCCGGTTGGAGGCGCCCCACAGATTTGGCTCCTGTTTTCCCTGGGTTTTGCCACCATTTGGGAATTCTGTTCCAGGGATGATGGTTATTTAAAGCGGAGTGGAGGGAGAGGCGGCTCCTGTTCCCTGGGATGTGCTGATTCCCGGGAGCGGGGCCGGAGGCGGCGAGGCCGGATGAGCCGGTTTGGGATGTGCCAGGACCAGAGCGGGGCCTGAACTTCCCACTGTCCCGGCTCCAGAGCCGCTGGATCCCTGGGATTGGAACAACTCCTGCTCCTCGCTGCCGAGTATTGGATGGAATCGAGGGCTCTCCTGTGGCTTTCCCACTGGAAATTCCCGGTGGATCCTCCCCTGCCTCCTCCAGCCAAGGGACCCTGTTTGATCTGGAATCCAAAGCCTCATTGACCTTTTATTGGATCTGGCTGAGCCTGGAAAACCTCTGGAGCAGATTAAACACCGGCGGGCCCCGTTCCTGGTAACGGCACCTTGGATTTGTTTGGAAAACCAGAGGGAAGGGCCTTGGGAATCCTTGGAGCCCTCAGTTTATGTCCCTGCGAGTGGGAGCTGCATCCATGGGCTACTCCGGCCTTCCCCCTCTTCCCTCTGGCTCAGGGATTTCAGTGCTCCCAGGATCCCTGGGGCTTGTTCCCAGGGTTTTGTTCTCAGTTTTTCCCTCTGCATCCCAAGATGGTGTTTCTGTAACTTCCCAAACCGTCAACTCCTCGTAGTCCAGTTCCGCACAAAGCTGGAATGTCACTAGGATACTGGGATGCTGGAGGGGGATGTGGGAATGCTGGGCAGCATGGGGATCCTCAGGAACGTGGGAATGCTCAGGGATTTGGGAATGCTGGGGGCCGTGAGGATCCTCAGGAATGCAGAGGGATGTGGGAATGCTGAGTTCTGGGATATTGGGGAGCATGGAATGCTGGGGAATGCGGGAATGCTCAGGGATTTGGGAATGCTGGGCATGTGGCACCTCTCTGGCACTGGAGCCCCTGTTTGTGGTGGGACTGGGGGAGCTCTGGAATTCCCACAGGAAGAGGAGGCAGCAGGATTCCTCCATCCATGGGGAAGATGGGCAGGAGGTTGGATCTGCTTCCCCATCTCCCTGCTGGAGATCCACTCCTGGATCCACTCTGGGATCTGCTCCTGGATCCACTCCTGGATCCACCCTGGGATCCACTTCTGGATCAATTCCTTGTTCTCCACTCCTGGATCCACTCTGGGATCCCCATCTCGATCCACTCCTGGATCCATTCCTAGATCCACTCTGGGATCCCCTTCTGGATCCATTCCTTGATCTTCGCTCTAGGATCCACTCTGGGATCTCCACTTGGATCTGCTCCTGGATCCATCCTGGGATCCACTTCTGGATCTCCCTGCTGGGCCCTGGCCATGCTCAGGTGTCTGTGGGGAGCTCCCCATGTTATTCCCAGCAGGAATCCCGTGGGATGCTGTTCCCGTGAGGCCCTTTTGAACCTCTCCTGACTCCTCCTGCTCCTCCGTGATTCCCGAGAGCGCATTCCCGGCCGACCTCCGGGATGCTGGCGCGTTCCCAGCAGAGCAGCCTCAGCGCCGGGCGCGGCTCCGGGCGCTCCCAGCTGTCTGGGCCATTCCAGCTCCCGCTTCCCCCCGGGGTCATTCCCGCGGGACGGGGGCAGGGGCGGCTCCGAGGCCTGTCTGGACCTGCCGGGCTAAATTTGGGAGCAGGAGACGTGCGGGAACCAGGATGGGCGGGTGGGAAGAGCCCCAGGTGTTCTCCCGGAGGCTCTGTCCGGCCTTTGCTCGGGAATTGGGATTTCCATTGGTTTTCCCACCCCCATGTTCCAAGAGCAAGGTGTCTCTGTGCCTCTGGAATCTGAACCTGTGTCCCAGCCCTGTGTCATTCCAGGGATTTACACCTGAGCCAGGGCCTTTTCCTAGCAGAGCTTTGGCTTGGGGAAGGTTTATCCCGGGAATGACCCGAGGCGGGTGTGGAGCAGCTCTGGGAGCCGAGATCCGACCGCTCGGGACATGGACACTTCACATTCCCTGCGGAGCCAGTGAAGCTCCTGGTGTTCCCGAACCAGCCACGTGGAATTCCCACCCATTCCCAAGGTGTTTGTCTCGGTCCCTGGCTCTGCTCCTCAGGGAAGGGCCTCACCCAGCTGGTTCCTTATCAGCCTGGGAGTGGGATTGGGCTGGGATGGGCTCCAGGGCTGGGATGGGGTTGGGATGAGCTCCGGGGTTGGGACGGGGCTGGAATTGGCTCTGGGGTTGGGATGGGCTCCATGGCTCCTGCCTGTTTTCCACAGGGCATTCCTGCACCTGGAGCTGGGGTGGGAACACGGAGAGGTAGGTGGATGGGATGGACCTGCTTGCACCTCCATCCTCCTGGAAAACCTTGTGGTGGGGGATTTCCCGGATCCATGGGATTCATTCCGGCTCCCCTTCCTTGCCGAGTTGCATCTGTGGGGTTTGAATCCTGAGGGAGGGATTGTACCGCCGTTCTCTGGGATTTGGGGAACTCCTGCCCTTCAGGATCCTTCCAGGATCCTTCCTGACTTGTTTGCCATTGAGAGGTCCCAGGGAGGTTGAAGCTCCATGAGGAGATTTGAGCTCCATGAGGAATTTGGAGCTCCATGGGGAGTTTGGTGCTCCCTGAGGAGATTTGAGCTCCATAAAGAGGTCAGAGTTACATGAGATTGGAGCTCCCTGAGGAGGTTACAGCTCCGTGAGGAGGCCGGAGCTCTCCGAGGAAGTCGGAGCTCTCCAAGGCAGGAGTTGGGCTCAGAGTGGACCCTGGGGGGGTTCACTGGGATCCACCACATCAGGACACTGCCGGTCTCCCTGTCACTCCTCTTTCCCCCATCCCTGACCATGTCCCTGTCCCTCTCCTGTCCCTTTTCCCTGCCTGTGTCCCTGTCCCGGTCCCCGACGTGTCTTTGTCCATGTCCCTGTCCCATTCCCTGTCCCTGCCCGTGTCCCTGTGCCATTCCCCATCCCGCCCCACTCCCGGCTGACGGTGCCGTGTCCGTGTCCAGGATGGAGCGGATGACAGAGGACACACTGCGGCTGAACCTGCTCAAGCGGGGCCTGGAGACAGGGCCGGAGGAGCGTGAGGACGTCCTGGCCAAGCGGCTGAAGATGGAGGGCCACGAGGCCATGGAGCGGCTCAAGATGCTCGCCCTGCTCAAGAGGAAGGACCTGGCGGGGCTGGAGGTGCCCCACGAGCTCCCGGGAAAGCCCGACGGGATCAAGGGCTATGAGGAGAAGCTCAACGGGAGCCTGAGGCCCCACGGGGACGGGAGGGGCTCGGCCCGGCCCGGCAAGGAGAACATCAACGACGAGCCCGTGGACATGAGCGCCAGGAGGAGGTGGGTGTGGGAATGCCAGGATGGAAGTGGGAATGCCAGGATGGGAGCAACCAGCTGGGGGCGGGAATGCCGGGATGGGAGTGGGAATGCCGGGATGGGAGCAGCCAGGAGGAGGTGGGTGAGGGGATGCTGGGATGGGAGAGGTGGAAGAAGCCTGGTCAGGGATTAAACGGGATTTGGGGGGTCTGGTAGATCCGATTCCAGTGGGTAAAGGGACTCCAAAAGCTGGAGAGGGACGTGGGAATAGTGGGATAAGAGGCAATGGGTTCACGTGGACGGTTTGGTTAGGTGGGATGTCGGGAAGCAATTGAGAATGTGGGAATTGGGAATTCTTTGTTGTGTAGGGGGTGGCACAAGTTATCCAGGGGATTTGTGGGTTCCTCATCCCTGGAAGTGTCCAAGGCCAGGTTGGACAGGACTTGGAGCAGCCTGGACTGTGGAAGGTGTCCCTGCTCTGAGTGCAGAGTCCATGGGCTGCGTCCCTGGAATTCCATGGATATTGTGCAAGATGAAGGGAATCCAGTTGGGCACCAGCACCAGACACTTGGATCAGGGGTCAGCCCTGGAAGGAGGTGGGAATATCCCACTCTAAGTTTGGAAATCATTGTGAAGTTTCATGGGGGGTGTCTCATTTCCCTGGATTTTCCCTGGGAACGTGCTCCACGTCTTCCCACCTCCCTTGCCGTGGCTCCTGTTCCAGTGGTTCCCTTGGAATTCTGCTCTTCCCTGGACAAAGGAAATCTGGTGATTCCTTGTGGATTTTTCTGTTGGATTTGGACTTTGGCTTTGTGTTATTCCCCTCAATGGAATGTAAATAATCCAGCCTGGATTTATCCGGATGCTCCTGCAAAATCATTCCTGCCAGCTGTGGAGAAAATCCTGGACCAGGATCCGCTGCTGGATCCCTCTGGTTTGAAACTCCTGGGACGCAGCTTGGATTACTTGGATGGGCTCCTGCTGGATCCATCTCCATGGGATGCTCTGGACCTTCTCTACTGGAGAAGGGGCAGCTCCAGTGCTTTGGAATATCCACAGAAACAGCTGGAATGTTTGGGAGACGAAGACAACTCCCCCTCTGAGCATCTTCTGAGCAGCTAAATCTGGGATCGGGCTCCACACTTCCTCTTGGGTGTTTGGAGCTGAAAGTTTGGGATGCAGTATTCCGTGATGTCCTCACTCCAAGGACCTTCCAGGGAGCTGGGGCACAACAGTCCCGGCTGCTTCCATGGCTCCACACTGGATTATTCCACAGTTTTCCAAGGCTCTCCAGCATGAAGACATGAAATCTGCATCTCCTTCCCAGGGATCCCAACACTGGCTTTTAGTTCGGTCTTTCTTTTCCCAGCTGCTCCTTTTGTTTCCCGATTCCCTCACACATCCATTGGATATTTACTCGGATTTTCCTCTAGGGACTGTGCTTTTCCAATAGATTTGGGCTGGGATAGGCTTGGAATGATGGCATTACCGGGAGGGCTTGTCCCCTTCTCCCCTGCACCGTGATGAGGATGAGCCATTCCAGGCTGGAACATCCCGGAGTCTGGATTAGAATCTGCATTATTCCCAATTCCCAGGTGGGATTTGCCCACCTAGAGCTTCCCTCTCTCCCCTACTGGGGTGGTTTGGAAGGATTGGACTCCTTGGGGGGGCAAGGCCGTGTTCCAGCTGGGATCCGTGTTGGATTGGGTGGTGGTCCTGGTGCGGGATTCCTGCTTTCCCAGCTCATCCCGGTGTGTTCCTGCAGTGACCCGGAGCGGGGCCGCCTGACGCCATCCCCAGACATCATTGTGCTGTCGGACAACGAGGCCTCCAGCCCCCGCTCCAGCTCCCGCATGGAGGAGCGGCTCAAGGCCGCCAACCTGGAGATGTTCAAGGTGAGGGAGCCCGGAATTCCGGTGGCTTTGGGCCCTCCCAGCAACTTCCTGGTGCAACCACCCGCTTCCTGCTCCCAAATCCGCCCAAATGATCCAAATTCCCGCTCGGGCTGAGCTTCCTTCTGGTCTTTCCCTCACGTTTTCCCGGCGTTCCGGGTTTTTCCAGGGGAAGAGTCTGGAGGAGCGGCAGCAGCTGATCAAGCAGCTCCGGGACGAGCTGCGGCTGGAGGAGGCCCGGCTGGTGCTCCTGAAGAAGCTGCGGCAGAGCCAACTCCAGAAGGAGAACGTGGTCCAGAAGGTGAGGCTTGGGATGGGAGGGATAACAGGAAGGGCCACACATGGCACATCCTGTGGGAAATCCCCCAAATCCGCAGCCCCAGCACAGCCGGGAACACAAACCCACAGTGCTCGGCATCGCAGCCTGTGGAATTCCGTCTCTCCGGAGGCTGATCCCGGCTCTCCCCCCCATTCCCGATCCAGACCCCCGTTGTCCAGAATGCCGCCTCCATCGTGCAGCCATCGCCAGCCCATGTGGGGCAGCAGGGCCTGTCCAAGATCCCAGCCCGGCCCGGAGCCCAGGGTGTGGAGCCGCAGAACTTACGGACACTGCAGGTGAGCGTTCCCCCTTTTCCCTGGAAAACACCCGCTCTGCTGGATGCACACCCAGCTGAGATCCCTTCTCCAGGAGGCAGAGGAGTTCCGGCACTTCCTAACGCCAGGAGTTGGGGTTTGGGGTTGTGCTCGACAGGAATTAGACCCCATGATCCTTGTGGATCCAGCTTGATATTCCATGATCCCTGTGGGTGTGTCCCATGATCCCCAGTGACTCCCAGTGATTCCCAGTGATCCCCAGTGACCCGTGACTCTCTTCCTGGTCTCCCAGGGGCACTCAGTGATCCGCTCGGCCGCCAGCTCGGCACTGCCCCACATGTTGATGTCCCAGCGCGTCATCGCCCCCAACCCAGCGCAGCTCCAGGGGCAGCGGCTGCCGCAGAAACCCGGCCTGGTGCGGAGCAACACCCCCAGCATGACCCCCACCATCAACTACCAGCCGGTGCGTGGGATGGGCACCGGCAGGAGCTGGGCTGAGATGAGTTGGGGTGGTTTGGAGTGGGTTGGGATGGTTTGGGATGGCTTGGGATGGTTTGGAGTGGTTGGACTGCTGTCTCTGCAGCGGTCCAGCCCCGTTATCCCGCTGTTCTCCCTGCTAATCCCGCTGTTCTCCTTGTCCCCGCAGCAGTCCGGCTCGTCGGTGCCATGCCAGCGCTCCTCGTCCTCCGCCATCTACATGAACCTCGCGTCCCACCTCCCGTCGGGCTCCGTGGCCCGTGTGTCGTCGCCGCTGCCGAGCCCCAGCGCTCTGTCCGACGCCGCCAATTCCCAGGCGGCCGCCAAGCTCGCGCTCCGGAAGCAGCTGGAAAAGACGCTCCTGGAGATCCCGCCACCCAAGCCGCCGGCGCCACTGCTGCACTTCCTGCCCAGCGCCGCCAACTCCGAGTTCATCTACATGGTGGGGCTGGAGGAGGTGGTGCAGAGCGTCATCGACAGCCAGGGTATGTGTTCCCGCCGGATTTTCCCAAAAAAAGTGGGAGTCTAGGGTGGTTCGGGGTGAAATTGGGGGTTTTTAGCCCGGATTTGGGGGTTTCCTGGGGCCTCTCCTGTTGCTCTGACTCCTTTGCCCAGTGGGGCTGGAGGAGGTGATAACAGCCAAGGTGGGTGTTCCCAGGGAATTCCCAGGAAAACAGGGAATTTGGGAAGGGTTTGGGGGGGGTCAGGGCAGAGTCAGGGGTTTCAGTGCGAAATTTCAGGATTCTGGGATTGATTTGGAGGATTTCAGGCTAAATCATGTGTATGATACCAGGCTCTGTGTAGAACCGTTGGTGTGTGGGCAGGGGGTTATCCCGGTATCCCAATGATCCCTGTGCCATTCCAGGGAAGAGCTGCCCGGTGTCCCTGCGTGTGGAGCCCTTCGTGTGCGGGCAGTGCCGCACGGATTTCACGCCGCACTGGAAGCAGGAGAAGGGCGGGCGCATCCTGTGCGAGCAGTGCCAGACCTCCAACCAGAAGAAGGCCCTGAAGGCTGAGCACACGAACCGCCTCAAGAACGCCTTCGTCAAGGCCCTGCAGCAGGAGCAGGTCAGGCCCGGGATGTGCCGGAGCCGGGGGAAAACAGGGATCTGCGGTGGGAGCACTGACACACCCGGCCCAGCCCATTCCAAAGCACCCATCCCATCCCAAACCACTTGCCCCATCCCATCCCATCCCGTCTTG